GTGACGATGCAAGAAACAGAGCTAAGGTGTTTCGCAGTCCCAGACGGAGAAAGCTTGCAGCTTTCAGTACAAGATCACACTTACACTGGAGAAGGCGAAGCGCACCATGAGCACGGAGCTGAATCAGATGATGGAGATCATGATAACGATGTGATGTCCGTACAGCTAAGTCAAGAATCGGAAGGAGATGAAGAACACGAAACGGAGTCAGAGTTTCACGTTGAAGTTGTAGCTCCAACAGAGGATGCCCTTGGCCTAGACCCAGAAACCCGAGTGACCGTCCCCCACAAGAGATCCGAATCTGATGGCCTGAAGCCGCCACGGCCCGAGGTGAAGTTGACGGAGAGAGAGGGAACTCAACAGAAGTCGGTCCTGCCGGATTGCTTGCTCTTGATGATGTGCGAGCCCAAGCTCTCAATGGAGGTCTCCAAGGAAACATGGGTCTGCAGTACGGACTTCATCCGATGGCTACCGGAAAGGCACGTCGGCAAAGTCCCCGTCAAGACCGACGGCGGCAAGGACGAGCCCAAGAAAAGGGCTGGCAATGCGGAATCCAAGCGCGCTGCTGCGGCTCTCACGGCTCAGCAAGCCCACATTCTGCAGCAGCCGCGCAGAAACTCTTGTTCCTTGCCGCCAAAAGCTGCGGCTCGAGCGGCCGGCGCTGAGTCGATGGCCACGATGATCGAGCAGAAGCTGGAGAGCGCCAAGGCTTATGAGCCGTGTGTCCTCACAAGATGCAAGTCTGAGCCGATGCGGTCGGCCACGAAGCTCGCGCCGGATGCTTGCTTTTGGAAGAACAGGAAGCTCGAGCCGCATCGCCCGGCTACGCACGGTGTCAAGGCGGCTGGGGTCGGCTTCTGAACCCGGCTTGATCGAAGGTTGTATAGGTAATTGTGCTAGAAACTATGGAAGTTAATGAATTCTTTTCACTTTTGGTCCTATGTATCTTGTTGGTTCAAGAAAGTTTGTGAAATGGGGTAGCTTTGAAAGTGTAGTTTTTTGCAGGTTCATTTCACTGCCGTAGCTTATCTGTAAATTTTTTTCTTTTGGGTCTATAAAATGATTTTCATTTTCCTTCAATCTTTAATTCGACCTGATATAAATTTCTACGACAGTGCTTTGCTTTTCAAGCCTTGTTTCACATGTTTGATGCCAATGATGCCCTTACGGTTCAAGTGTCAATTTCTACTTTGCGTTGGATTGAGTGATGCGGCCAAAGCTATCCATGTGAGTTTTGGCAATGAATTGAGAGCGAAAGGTAGAGGAAGACTCGAGACATGCATTGTGCTTGTCTATCTCGTGATGTTCTGTTTTGTTTTTAGGCTCGAGTCTAGTTTTCGTAAACTGTGGATGTCGAGCCACTGTTGAAGGGGGTCTGAGAGTCGCTCGTGGGACCATTTAGCAACTAGATGAGGATGGGTCAATTTGAGGCCGTTGGATGATGAGAGATAGAAACGACAAGGTGGTGGGCATTCGATAGCGAGGTTTCTCAAAATGGAGTTTCTTTGATTATGATTATCACGTTCCATGGGCAAAGTTAGGCCATTTCCTAAACCCCGCTCATCTATCCGAAGCTGAACCCCATTAAACCACATCTACCTGGAAAAGCTTATATCAAAGTGGAGGAGGAGAATTCAGATCTGATTTCGATCAACTAGGTTTCTCCTGGGTTTCAATGAAATTCAGTGCGTTCTCAGAGAAGGATCGGTTAAATTAAAGATAAAATGCAAGTATGTGAATGAAAAGGTCATGACAAAACCCTGCCCATGCCGCGGCAAAGTGAGAATTTTTCGTGTAGCAGTGTCCGGTGTTAGTTGAAAACTCAAAACTCTGGGTACGGCAATCTCTCCATCCAGACCAAACACGACGATGATTATGTAGTCACTCGTATCCATTATTATTATTGTTATTTTTGTTACTGTGGTATTTTTCATGTATGTTAAAGTTGCGTACGTGGTCCTTTTTAGGTGAGGCAGAGATTTGACAGAGCTTAACCTGAAAGGGTAACCCCCAGATGAAATGTGTATTGGGATGGGAAAAGAGAGTTAAAAGATTAAAATGCAACGGTTAATGGGTAATCCTAAAGCAACTAGATCCTATAGTTCCTCATTTCCCTTGGGAGTAAAAAGGTCTGATGGACCATCTGAAGAAGCCTCATCCTTTACAGGCTCTAGCCCTAGGGGTTTCTCATTTTCGAATTTTTCTCTGCCAAGTTCGTGCTTTTTTCCCCTTCTCTTTGAGATGAAAGGACAAGCACAGAGAGTAAAAATGGTTGAGATCAAAACCAAAGAAAAAGGGAACAAAAAAGCAGGGTCGGTGCAGGTGCGCAGTACAGGATTGTGCTTGTGCATTGGCCTAAAGATGGGTCAATAATGGAGATGCAGGGGTTATACAAGCTGCTTCTCTTTGGCCTTTATTGTGTATGGAATAGGTACGAGTTTGTCATTCTCAAAGAAATCTTTGAACAGCAAGAAGCTGCGCCCCATCTGTGTATTTGTTTGATACTGGTGTCGTGAACAATTATCATTGAATCGGGTGGACTCCACATGAAAACTCTTTGGATCTCGTGGCCTATATGTATGGAGCGCGTGCTTGCAGGAAATACATTAGTGGAATTCAATGTAGTCTGGGTGAGACAGAGATAAAACATGTCTCCTGAACTTTAATCCTCTGGATGGCTTTTGGATAGGTTTACTTTAAACGTGGAATCATCAGGTGCATCTGGACAGCAAAACAGAGAAATTGTGGACATCACTAGTTCACAAAAATCTTAGATAATCCAGCAACTGGTCCTTTAAAGATGAAACCCTATCAGCAAGCAAAAGCCCATAATAGTGCAGCAGCCAGATTTTCTCAGAGAAGTGCATGTGTTGGCACTGCGAGAATCCATCCAGTATCGTAGTGATGTCTTTTTCTGGGCTAAAAAGATGAATCAGATTGATGGTCCTGTTCTTCATTTTTATTAATATCTTACTCTTTTCTCGATATGAATATTAGGGTATTGCAAAGATTCAAAAAGTGGGAGGACTGTTTTCTTTTTTGATGTTGTTGGTTTGTGATGATACAAGGATAGGTGTCTTAGCCCATATCTTTGCATGCAAAGTATGTATAGCTGTAAAGAGATCCAAAAGACTTACTATATTGATGGGTTTGCTTTGAAGTTTGTTCCTTTGCCCACCCTTTTTTTTTTGTTGCTTTTTGTTTTGCTTTGAAGTGGAGTTCTGAAAATTAGGCCTTAAGATTCCTTGTCCACCAATTTCCAACGAAGAAAACCTATGCAGAAAATTTCAGCCTTTCGGGGCACAAAAATATTCGCTTTTTTTACGGGTCCAGTCAGTGTGACTTTTATCTTTTTCAGGTGGCACCATGTCACCTGGGAGAATAAAAAAACAATTTCTTTGTTAAGTACGGTCAATGAAAGCTTTGGGGGGGCGTAGGCTTTAAAAACACAAAAGGTAAAGGCAGGGTGCAAGAGTAGCAGGATATATTTCATTTTGTGTTGCCAGTGCTGTTGCAGCAGACATATTTTTCTGCTAGGACACGATTGGAGCTTCTACAATTCTCGAACAACCGTTTGTCCAAGTGATTGAACCGTGTTATGAATTATGGCACTTCATATTAGAATTATAACAAGATGTTAATGATTAGCAGAGAACGATAGAGGGACCGACCCTAAGACGGATCGAAAAGCTGCCGGAGACTATTGTCGACTCGGTTAAAGACTTTATAATGATGTGGCGGGCGCGATGAAGTGAATTAACTCTGAAAATTTCTAGTTACTAAATAAGAACGCAACTTAGTATTTAAATGCCATAACAGAACATGGCATACTTCCAGATAGTGGAACTCCTAAGCTCCACAATAATCAGCCATGCACTATGAACTTGTTCTAAATTCATGAAAGTCGCCTTGTTTTTCCTTGGAGTAGAAGGAAATCGCCATGCTTTCTCTTACATGGAGTCCGAGGATGCACCTAGGGATTTCACAGAGTAACTCAGATTTCACACTCGGCAGAAATTGTTACCCGCAACCCCAGGAATTCATGTGAATTGGCTCAAATGAGCCAGGTGTATCCAACAAAAGCTCATTGATCCCGGTGACAGGTTTGTAACTGGATTTGCTCAAGTATTGGGTCCAAAGAGAGAAGTTTGAGTGTCTAAGGTTTTATCAATCAAAGAACCAGTAACCCTCAATCTTGACTTCAAAGCAGGAATTCTAACAAGAGTACCATACTAAAGCTATCTAAGGATACTGCAAACTGTACAAGCCTCGATTGCTTCTTAGTACCCCTGGCTTCTATCTCCAACATGCTTTCTAAAGCAATCTGGTCGCAGTCCGCTTGAACTATATGCATGGAGAGGAGGAATAAGTGCAAGACTTTGAGATTGGCTCACCTATCCTCAGGTTTGGCCAAACATTTAATCCTCCAGGTATATCGTCCGAAACAAAGTGAACTCTTTGTTGACGATGATAGTGATTCTGCAGACTCCCAACATGAATTTAACCGCTCTTACAAGGATCACTCATCTCTCTCACGACATCGTTGGACTTCATCACTGAATTTGACAGTCAGAACATCATCATATTTCGTAACTAGGCTTTGAGAACGGTAGAGTAAGAGAGCTAGGAGGTCGATGAATTAATTCTTGGTCTCCATCAGCAGCTTTGGATAAACATCTCATACTTCATTTGTTTTGATTAAAGAAACAGAAAAAGAAAGGATCCCACCCCTAGCTAGTAGCAAAGTCCATGAAAACAAGAGAGAAATGAAGCTCTGTGAATTCACTTGCTTTGCGCTGAGAATCCCGTGAACCAACGAATAAGTATATTAAGAGCAAAAGCAGGCATTTTATGCCATTAATCAAAATTCTGAAAAACAGCTGTCAAATGAATTTGTGTACAGTGTCATTAACGATGATATCAAACTTCGCGGAGAAAATGCATGAAGGGAGTCCGCAACCGAAAGCAAAGACATTATCCAACAGCTGACTCTTCTGAAAAAAGTAAATCACCAAAACTTTGTTCGACCAAAAGAATTCTTAACAGCCGGATATATGCAGATTATCTCCTAAACTGTGGTGTATAAATCAACTGATTAACCTATTAACATGCAGAGCTATTACGAATAACCCAAAAACATGCCTTAGCCACATAGATAACGTTAACATCATTTCTAAGTAGAAGGTTAGCATTTCAAAGGTAGAAACAAAGATAGCAGATCGAGAAAAAATTCAATTTAAATAGATCCCTGTAGAAGTAACAATACTTATCTTCTGTCATGGTGTACTATCTGTTTTATCATTGCCTTTGCTGTCATTTGTTTTAGGAGTATCTGTAAGACTCTCTGCTGATGTTAATTGGTCGTCACTTTGGTTCATTTGTGTGCTTGAAGATTCTTCTGTGAAGGAGTTTATGGCAAGTTGAACGGAATACAGGACTAGGCCAATGGAGTTGATACCGAATACGAATGTCGCAAGGTAGCATATCCCGTTCACAATTGTCCTGCAAATACGAGACGATGAATGTGAGTATGCAAGCCTTGTGTGCCACCTTCAGATAAAACTGAGCATGAGGCTTGAAGAATCAGTGCTACAAGCTGAGAAAAACAGTTGGTCAAGCTTTACCTTATGGTTATCGAAATCTGCCTTACCTGCAAAAGAGAAGCTTAAAACAGTGAGAAATGGGAAGGCACAATCTTTCTTCTCGCTCTAGTCACGGCCGAAGAATAATGAAAAAAGGAAAAATTGGCCTCGGTAAACATCCAGCTGTCACAGTTGAACTTCCTCAATTATCATTATCGAATCGGAATGGACCTAATATGGCTGAGAAACTAAAGATTGGAGGACATACAGAGAAATTATCGGAAAGTGTTTGCCGGTTGAGGGCCGCCTCGATGGTGGCGGTGAACTTGTAGAGGATGAGAGCAATCACACCGGCCGCGATTCCGCCCAGCAGTGCCTGCACAGGTGAAGGCGGTGCCTTGGCAGGGATGGAGGTTGTCCCCATTGCTTTCAAGCTGTCCAAGGCCTCCTCTTTCAGTGTCTTCTGTGCTCCTGAAGACCTGAATTTCTACAGCAGCAACAACAACGCCTCATTAAAGTGAAACACCAACAAGTACTCACATTGCATTGTAGCTGCATCGACTGCTCTAATCACTCAAAATGCAAGCCGCGGTTTCGAAAACCAACCAAGGAAGAATGATTTCTCGATGAAATCGAACGATTAGAGAGCAACCGCAAAACCATCCAGCATTGTAACAGGGTAAAAGGAAGAACTTTTCTTTTTCCAAATGCAAGTTCACAGGAGAAGCAACAAAGATGAAGCTTTGGAGCAACCGATGAACGGACCCAGCTCAACCAATTCCAAATTCGATTCAAATATAACGCAACGACAAGAGAATCAAGACGAGCATACCAGTTCCTTGGCACGCCTGGCGCGACGCCGAACGGAGCGGAAGAGGAAGACGGCGATAGCCCCGGTGAGAAGAACACTAGTGGCCACCTGGAGGGGGGTGGGGTCGTCGGTGGACGCGAATATCGAAGGCGCCGAGGAAGGGAGCTCGACGGGTCCCTCCGGCGGCTCTTCGGCGACGGCGGCGGCGGGTTCGGAGGCTTGGGCGAGCCATGATGGGTCGGGTCTGGGCCGGCGACGAGGGACGGCGGAGACGGAGGCGGAGAGGAGAGGAGGGGGAGGAGGAGGAAAAGGGGAGAGAGAGACGGTGGAGTGGAGGGGAGAGAGCGGGAAGAGAAGGGGAGAGAGGAAGCGGGGGTGGTGACAAGGCAATTGGAGATGCAGCATTTGAGCGAGTTCAGCACAAGGAGGAGGAAGAAGATGATGTCCGAGCGACCAGCGAATGAAGCTCGAGTGAAGTGCTATCCTTCGAGCTCTCTCTAAACTTTGCAGCTCCAGCAGAAGATCTTTCTGTGTTCTTCCCGCACGGAAAGAAAATATCTGCCCGTTCCTCAACTCCGTTCCAACGCACGCGCAGACGATTGGCTTTACGGATAAAACATGCGTTATTCATTCATCCTTCACACGAGATCAGAAAGTTCGATTCAACCTGACATACCACATTTGAAAAGATCTTTTGACCGCTGTCGCCTTGGTGGGATCGTGGTGACACGTTGGTCGGCCTCGGACTTTCGAAGGATCGCGAGTGATGGGAAATAATTAGGATACGGACCGAACATTCCTTTTAACGAATGGGGGGACATTTGTTACGACGCTTAGACGAGATGGTCAGGGCGGATTGCCTTTCTCCAGTTTTTATCCATGAGGATGAAAAACTTTGTTCCACGGTGATAAACTTTTGGACCATCTTTCTTTTCTCTGACTTTGTATGTTTTTTTTTTCTTTGTCAAAGGAAGCCTTGTTAATTGTTATGTACAGTTTTGGCTAATTAAGATTATGGGGGATATAATAACATGCCACCTGTGCTGTTGACTGAATTAGTCTCGTGTTTCCATCTTTGTTTAGATGAAATGTAGACTTGGATTATGAAAGTTTGATCTATCTTTTAGTGCTATCTAGTATGGCAATTCGATCTACACTGTTTGCTACCATCTTTTGGCAGCCCCCGATCTTCTTCCTTTTTCTCTCCTTTTAATTCCATGATCTTATGAAGGGAGAGGTTCGACTCAATCGGGGAGACTGAGATTTTGCTCCTCACTCTTTTCATCTTACGATATCATTGTAAAATGCTTTAAGATTTGATTTGTTAAAGACATTCTTTTCATCTTTCGTCGTGTGAAATTTCAATAATTTTTATATTCATATGATCTCCGTCTACTTATCATAGACTTCCTAACTCTTTTTTTTCTTTTACTCCATTTAACATATTCAAAATTAGCTGTTATGCGATTTACATGTCTCTCTCCCTCACCTCCAAAAACCTCTCCAACCAAAAATCTAAAGCTTGATCCATGTCTAACCATTTTACCCAAATAAATTGACATGAAGCTCATCACTAATGTCCCCCTGAAACAAAATTTGTGGCTTGCTGCAACTTTATCACCTTTACATACTATCATCATATATTTACTTATGCAAAGGGTCACCAAGGTATGAACAAGTACTCATCACAAGCACAATTACTGGCGTTAGTGGTCAAGGTTCTAATGCAATGACTACCATGTAATAGACCCGTAACTGCTGTTATTGCAAAAAGATACTTAGGACTAACCAATGGCTCCTGCAAACCATGACAAAATGGAGCGCAAGCAACAGAGAAAGAACAGAAGCTGTTATGGAGAAGCACGAATGAGAAAATAATCTACCATTTCAAACTGATTCTCAGTTGCGACAAAATTGTGGTTGATTTAATCTCATAAGTAACATTTCACCCATGAACAGAGTAGAGAGGCTATTTCTATGCTGCCAAGCCCCAACATCCACTCACTCGGGCAACTGCTTGGCCGATAACATCAACTCCATTAGAGAAGAAAGGCACAGACTCTCCAATTTACAGTGACAGGTAACATCCCTGTCATGATTTGTAGATATCAGTACACCATTTCTGAAGACAAATTCAACAGTCTGACCAAACCGAGACGATCTGTCCTTATTTACTGTTTCGCTTGCGCCTCCATCAGTGGAGTGGAATGCACATTCCGCAGGAACACTCAATCTACACCCAGGTCTTCTGCAATCACAAGTGCTTGCATCTGGACATAGAACTGAATTCCTCTGAATTTCACCAAATAGACTGCTAACATTAGAAAATTCTTGCCTAACTGCTGAAACAAGATCCACGGACAATGATGCAACCACGTCATGAATGTCCTCTACATTCCAGCTGTTTTTACTCAACCCTGCTTCATGAATGAGTAGTTTTCGCATCACGTCATGGAGGGAACTTATGCAGACAGAGCAACAGCGGTACAGACATACAGCCATAGAGTCAGCAAGAGCATTGATGTTTTTCCATGCAGAAGAACTGCTTGATGAGGACTTATCGGAAACTGGGACACCATCAGGAGACGAAGTGCTGTTGTCTTTTGAGGCCAATCCCTTTACCTGGTCTTTTCCTCTGCTAGAGCCAGAATAGGCGGCTCCACCCATTTGCCCTGAAGGGTAAGGACCATCCTTAGAAAGCACAACATCATTTGCTGATACTGAATGGTAGGGAAAATTTAATGACTGAGCCACATCACGTATACTAGTAGATTCTCCAGGGCTTTCAAGCTGATTTATTGGATTCATCCCATTGCACTCGATCAACGATTTACCAACAGGAGTGCCAGGAGGAATGGAACTACAAGGCTGTTCGTTCAGACTGGCATTTCCGAACAAGGAAATGTTTTCTACGATGTCATCCTGTAAAAGTCCAACTCTTTCTTTAAAATCATGAAGGCCGGAGTCACCATTCTCTTTGTTGCACACAGCAGGATCAACATTTTCAGCAGCAGAATCTAGCTGAGTTTCTTCCAATACTCTGGCTTCAGGGGAACTCCTGCCAGGGATGGGAGGCTGATGTTCCTCAAGTTGAAGATTATTAGCCGAAGATGCTGTGGTTGACAGAACAGGGTTTGCTTGTGTAACTTGGGCATCCACCTCTAAACTGAAAACAAAATAAACACTGTTAACACTTTGTAGCATCCTCAAATTTAATCCAGCTTTCTAGTGAAAGAGATGAGTACCTTTGCAATGAAAATGCCCAACTATTGACAATATCTTCCAGATAAGAAACTTGGGATAAAAGTTGAACATACTGATATCGATCTTTCCCAGCCTGGACCTTGAAATTTATCTGCCCTACTAAGAGCTCAAGAACCCTGCGAATCTCAAAAGCAACTTCTTTCGCTGAAGTGTACAACCCTCTGTATGCCAACAAACCAACTGCCGCTATCCCTCTGACTAAAAGGGATCCTTCTTTGCTTTTGATGTTGCCAGGATTACAAGGAACAGCCATCTTCTCCGCAGTGTTACTAGGGCGAGCAATACAGGAATTAAATGGCCAGCCCTTCCAAGGTCCACTTATGTCAGCAACAGGGCCTTCTTTCAACTTTGAGGTAACCCAACAAAGTTCAGCAAAATGAGGATATCTGAGTATTTGATAGCCAAGTGTTGATATCCCCAACATCAAACTCGATTTCCCCTTCAGATTACGCTTGTTCAAAAACGGAGATGGTCTTGGCACAGAATCATCAGTATTTTGTGTTCTAGGGTCAAGCTCCTCTAATGGACGATCTAGGTTGCGATTTGGTGTTTGTTTTTTATCTCCAGTTGGAGCAGAGGTTTCATTATCGGGAACAGGATGTTTGTGAGCTTTCTGATAAAACAACTGCACAAACTGCTGAACAACATTCCTTGACAATTCTGCAGCACACCGATTTACCACGATATCATAATTTATACGGCCATCAATTTGCACACTAAATCTTGGTAAAGTGTGCTCCAAGGGAGTACGTTGACTGCTATCTTGTACATCACAGCCAAAGAACTGTCGTATTCCAATGGGAAGTTCAGCATGAGGAACATCAGAAGTAGCCTGTTGGCACAACCAATGTGTGACATGATGACATTAGAAGTTATAATTTTTCTCCATCTCTTTTTTTTAAGGAAAGAGAATGCAAAAAAACAGAAAACGGAGGGAGGGGGGAGGAGCTAGTACCAGTCGTAAAATAATGGAAGTTAATGCTTGAGGACAAAGTAGGAGATCAAGGAACCAACAATGGTGACCCAAGAAACTAAACACCAGAAACAACAAAGTCACCCTCATCCCACCAAGTGAGGAAGACCATGAAATTTTTCTTAAGCCATTGCACTTAATTCTACATCCAAGTCTTTTGTAAGATCTAAGTGTTCCTCCTAGAAACTAAACACGAGAAAAATTTTTCACGTGGTAATTTAGCGTAACAAGTCTACCCCTGTAACTCTGGTTCGTTTATCCATGGAACTTACTTTGACAAAATCATCCTTTTTGACGCAAAGGAGTTATACGACAACAAAAAGCATTTACATCCTAAATTTCAGATGGTACGACAGTTCACTTTTCTTTAGAAACCTCTTTATTCTCACAGCAGGATTCATAACAACTAGAGTCAAGACAAGATCAAGTATTACTCAAAGACAAATATATTAGCCCTCAATTTCTTTGCAGATATCAGAATAGAACTAGAAAGTAGACAAGCACTATATTGCCAGAAGCAGATAAATATAAAAATATTAGCTATATCACATCAAGAAAGTTAAAATATAAGAAACAGCAAGCCAAAGAGCATTCCTACCAGAATCACCAGGGATGTATTCACACAAATTGCTTCGACCTGCTCCGCAAAAGAGCTCCAGGCATGTGAGGGGCTCTGGGAAGAACTTTGATGTCTGTCCACTGCAGTTGACTTGCAGTTTTGCACATTAGATGTGATTTTTGACTCAAGTACTCGAGTATCTATGGAGCAGCTCGTTTTCTTCACCAGTGACTGATCATCAAATGAAGTGGAACTGTCTTCATCATCAGAAACTTGCTGATGCGTCTGCACAGCCCATAGATCTATCCTCGGCATAAATACAACACTAGAACCCACATTGGCACATTTCACTACAAAAATAAGTAGAGAAGCGTTAGAATAAAAAATACCAAAATATTACTTCACTGCACTGACTCCCAGCACTGAATATGAGGGTCCAATGTTACAAGAA